GTTAAACCTCCAACATACTATTTCACAGATAATTGTGACATATGGTGGTGAGGGTTTTGAGAAGTTTGGGGATGATCTTGCACGCACACTGCCAGTCAGTGACGAGAAGATTGAGCTCAACAAAACACCACTCCACCCTCTCCCAGCCATGGATATTGATGAGTCTACAATCGTTGGTGGGGCCGAGGTTGTGGAAACAATTTTTGACATACTCGGGATTCGCAAAGTGAAGGGCTGGCTTGGGACCATCAAGTTTTTTTGTGGCGATCAGCTTACTATCGCTCAGCTACGGGCGCTTGTCAATATTTGGGCTGGCCATGAGGGAGGCTATTCAGGCTTTGGGTGGGGCGTTTGGATGCCAGGACTTTTCCATGCGAAGATGGCTGATGTCCATGGCTGTCTTCTGACACATTGGGGGAAACCGTCTGCAGGAACTCAAAATCCAGGATGCTTGGCCTTTCACAACACAGTTCTCCAACGTAAGCCCATCACCATTACATCCCCCCCACCCTTTCGCACATGCCGTGATCTTATCTTTGTGTCACTCTATGCCCGGGTCCTGCACTGTCTGCTTCTTGTCTCAAAGAAGGCATCTCTCAAGGAGTGTCTCGAGGATTTGACATGGGCCCAACTTGAACTCTACTCAACAGAAATCCTCAAGAAATTTGGAAGTGCGGACATTGTTTCTGAGCTGAGACAGAAGCGGAAACAAGCTGCAGCGAAGCTGACCACAGAGACGCCAGTGCATGACGGTGACATGGTGTTCGAAAATGCTGTTCTCTTCTTTCGCGATGCTCTTCTCTCGCGTGAGTTCACGGATGCTGTCAAATCTGGGGACTCAGGCCGAGTTTTATTAGTTCTGAAAACCTGGGCGCTTAGCTTTCGGGGAAGTGGCCAAACAAAATATGCACATGAAATGTTGCATTTAATCCATAACCTTACCCATGTATGGCCCAGGGAAATCCGGTGAGTTTGAAGGGAAAGTTGATATTCAGTTCATTAACCCTTGAATCCTTGGCCTCTTAGAAACATCGTCCTCAATAACTGGTTGATAAGTCCCACTGGGAACCCAAATTCATGGATCGAGGTTGACCTTATGCAGGAACACATGAATTTTTGGATTAAGGTCAGATGCGCGAGATGTTCTTCACCTTATCTCATCATTCAAATTCTCATGATATTTATTTGTCGTGCAGAATTTCTACCGAGCCTATGGCAGCTCTGCATCATGGGAATGGCTCGAAATGGTGGCCCCATGTGTTGAGATCCTTCGACAGCTTGCTCGTGGGTTTAAACAGATGCTCGGGTCGGACTTAGGGACTGCCCACCATCCTATGGACTTGTCCCATGATCTGCCTGATCTCATGGATAGTCTTGAAGATCATGAAGTTTACATCTACAAGAAAGGCTGATATCTAGATGAGGATGATGCCCCAGCAGTCGATATCATTTCCTCTGGGCTCAAGGATCTTCTCAAAGGAAAAGAAAGTCCTTTAGTCAACTATAATGACGCATTCCATCACCTCCAGGCAAGACGTTGCCTCAAACCATTGGTGGGATCCGAGTCGGATGAGGACGAGGCTCCTGCTGCTCAGACATCACTTGCGACCACTGTCGAAGTTCTTCGACACTCGGAGGATCCCGAACTCGAGGATCCAGGATCGCAGGAAGGTAGTTCAGATGACTTCAACTTCAACTCCGGCTCGGAAAACTCAGATGACGAAGAGTCCGAGCACCCCGGTGAGTTCCTACAAGAGTTTGAAGACGGGAATGTCCAAGAATTATCCCTCGAGTCTGCAGCGGATGTCTGCCTTGACATGGATGCTGAAGATCTTGCCACACTTGACCGAGATGTTGACTTGGAGCATGAACATGACTCAGATTTGGACACTGATGAAGAAGGAGGCTTTGTTTAAAGTACATACTTACATTAGAATCCTATTTAAGTTGTTCGAGTGCCCAAAATTTGGGCAGACGAGCCATTGTTGAACGGAATCAGGCTGCACACAGTCAAAATCACGGAAATTTCGCTAAGTCCATTGTCACACTTGGCGGAGCGAGCTGTGACCCGCCATGTGACTGACCAGTTCGACCAGCCGCTTTCGCAGCTGAAAGCTGATGACCGAAAGCGGATGGTCACGAGCCTAAGCACTAGCCTCCTTGATCCTTTCCAGAATTTTGGCCTCTTCAGGTGGATTCGTTCCTCTGATAGCATTCAATCGCTGATTCAGATTCTGGATAGTGGCTTCCTGCTGGAGTAATATCGGCCTCATGACAGTGAGACGGGCCTGTAGATCGCTGGCGGGCAACATCACTCGACCGTTACTGGCCCCAGGACCCCCGGGGGTATTTCCTGGCTGGGGTGGTGGAGCGCCTTGTGGCATATCGGGCGGTTGCTGGAGGTTATTGTGCGGGGAGGGAGGGCGTAGATCGGACTCGTTCGACATCCGGGGAGATGAGAATACGTCTCCTGGCGATGGCTGGTTCATACCGAGTGGAAACTGTTGCGGCTGGAATTGCTGCTGCTGTTACTGCTGTTGCCACAGCTGTGGACTATTTAACTTGTTCAAATTAACGGGGCCGTTTGGTGGTTGCAGATAAAGCTACGTATGTATGAGTGGCGTCTAATCGCGTCGGCAGTGGGCGGCCCGGTTGTTCCGATAATTAAGAAATGCCAGTCATGACACATCGATGATCCTCGCTTTTCCAACTATCAGTTCCCCCTCCTCCTGCCTTGCTATATTGTTTTACCCCAACATATCTCCTGGTCACGCCAAAGGTAAGAAGCACGTAAATCTTCTGCGAAAAACAGCTTTTGACCCACACCGAATGCCCGACAGTGCGGGTACCAATCGCACAGCCTTGGTTGTGAGCGGAAGCAACGAAGTTCGAAGGGATTCACTTCTCTGCCGCTGACCACCATCTTCACGAGCTCAGCTCTCTTCCCCTGGTCACCTCCTACCATGGCCATCCAAGATTCAACGAGGAGGATCGCCATAGCGGCGGCCTTCGTGCCGCTAATGATCATGTACATCCTCTACACCTTCAAACTCCACCTCCTCATACCCGCCATATCGACGTGGCCAACCCAGCGACAGATCATCACGGAAATGGCGGCTTTTACTCGACATAAGCTATGGCCATGGACTATCACGCAGGACGAAGAAGCAGAGGAGTCGACGAGGTCCGCTTTCGAGAGACATATTGTGGCTGTTGGAGACTTGCATGGGGACATGCCGAATGCGAGACGGGTGTTGAGGTTTGCAGGCGTGACGGACGATATGGGCAACTGGTCAGGAGAGGTGGACTTCTTCGTGCAGACAGGGGATATCATCGACCGGTATGATTTTCGTTTATTTCCTATTCGAAGCCTTCTTTGACCGTTGTGCCTTCTAGAGGAGACGATACCATCCTTCTTTTCGTGTGGATGGACAGACTTCGAGCACAAGCAGCGGAAGTAGGTGGAACAATGCTTTCGCACCTTGGAAACCATGAGTGGATGAATGCTATTGGTGGGCTACTTTCACTCTCGAATACGAACAATTCAACTAACCTTTAATATCCGTAGGAGACTGGAGGTACGCGTCGTCTCGACATGAAGAGAGATGCAACCCAATTCACGTCTTGCAGATACGTTTACCCATCGGAATTGAAGACTTTTGGCAGCATAGCAGCACGTCAACGAATGCTCTCGTCTGGTCGCATTGGCCGCTCTTGGGCACACAACTACACTACCGCCTCGCGTCTTCCCCTACATCCATCGGGCGGACCTCCTAATTCACCATACCCACCAACAGCATATTCAGTTGCCTTCCAAAAGGAGGACGAGAAGCTGCATTATGGCTACGAACCCCCGGAGGATGATGTATTGTCTCATGCTGCCATCTCCTTCGTTCATGGAGGACTCTCACCAACATACCCCGACCTTGTACCCTTCCCCACGAAGATAAACGAGATTTCAGACTCGTTACTTTACAAGCTCCAACACCGTGTACAACCACCTCCAAGCCCTCCTAACCCTTATCCTGGTTTACCTACTGGTACGAAATTCCTTCAATTCAAATTATTCGTGTTTTCTGACGTGCCTTGTCTAGATGCCACTGTCGAAGAGCACCATCTCTACGACGCGAACGGTCCGCTGTGGTACCGAGGTTGGGCTATGGAAAGCGAAGAGCACGTATGCGCGCAGGTCGACGAAGTCTTGCGCAAGACCGGCACTCGAAGGATGATTATGGGACATACCCCACATTTCCAGGTATGTTACTCTTGTCTCATCGAAGGCAATCGACGTACTGAGATGCTTGCCCGGTTTCCAGAACATTGTAGCAAGATGCGACGGCAAAATTATCATTATCGACACAGGTGGAGACCCTTGAAATTGAATGTCTGCTGTCTGCTCATATCATTACCCAGGAATCTCGCATGCATACGGTGGCGTACTTTCGGCTCTTTCAATACACTATATCCTCGAGCCCGTCGGCAATGATGCTTCGCAACGCTGGTTGGAAAGGGAAGTCGTCACGGCGCTCTATCCGGACAGAGAAGATATTCTGGCCACGTCAGAGCGGGAAATCGTTGGTAAATTCCATCATAGCGAGCAATCACACCACCCGCGGTGAGATCGTTGGCCTGTTGTTTTCTTCATAAATTATTTTGCATTCTGGGGCTCTTGTTTCTTGCATTTGTTTCCTACACGTCGCCATACCACAATTATCAAATTGTCCTGAGAGTTCATGTTTCCATAATACATTCTTAGCACCATACATCTGACGCGTACATTTGACGGACCCAATCCCTACAACTTGGTCAGACGAGATCGGATATCTAGCCTTCGCCACTGAAAAACAACAGCATCAGGGCCTTGACAACTTTCCGATGCTGGGAGGTGCTTACCCAAGGGAACCACGGAGAGGTATCCTTCGACAAAGTAGCATGGAACTTGGGCAAACGCCTTTCTCTGAACGCAAGAGCGCCTTCCGCACCGTCCGGAGAACCCGCGAGGAGCTTGATCGCACGCGAGTCGTGGATATGGTTCTCCTCGATGGAATCGCCTGGGTGCTGGATGAGACCCTTGGCATACGCAACGGCGAGCTGGGAGGTGTTGGCCGCGAGGTCTTCTGCCAAGGCCTTAGCAGCGGGGTAGACAGCCTCGCGGGAGGGTAGGATCTCGTGGTAGAGGTCCCTGATGAGCGGCGAGGTAGGAGAGACGGTCACTCCAGTGAGAAGGAGCGAGTTGGCACGCGAAACGCCGATCAGGCGAGGAAGGAGGTAGGAAGACGCGGCTAAAGTTCCAGGAAGGTGAAGTCAGCAGTCAGAGACTAGCCTCCGCCTGTAAAGCTCGTGCATACCTTCGGGGGCGATACCGCGTCGGACGAATGGGAACGAGAATTTCGCACCTTCCCAGGCGAAACGGATGTCGAACGGCAGCTGCATAGCGGTCATACCGATTCCGGCCTTGACGAAGAAAGTAAGTACATGCAAGATACACATACGCTTTCAACGTACGGCGTGCCCGTTGACCGCAGCGATTGTGATCTTACGGTTGTTGTAGATGGCCAAAGAAAGTTGGCCCCCACTGTCGCGATGCCCTGTACGGTCGTCAGCTAAAGATGCGAAGAGAGACCTGTCTGATTCTTCTAACCATGCTCGCCCTCTTTCTCCTCATCTGGCTTCCACAAACTACTCCACCCACCCGAGATATCCGCCTAGAAGAATATTAGACGAAGTGAGCCAGAGCCGCTTGGGAAAGGAGACATACGCCAGAGCAGTAAGCCGGCGCTGTGGGTTCAGCAGTCATAATAATGACACGGACGCGGTCATCCTTGTCCGAGAGCTCGAAGACCTGGACGAGATCATTAAAAAGGGTCCCGGCGAATGTGTTCCTCCTGCAAACAAGTTCATTGCATATTTTGGGATCATGGAGAACTTGACTTACTGCTTCGCGCGATTAATAAGGATGGTCAAAATAGAACCTTCGAGAGTGACGATAATGTCCTTGTAGCCTTGCTTTGAATAGTCCGGGGCAGCCATTAATGCAAGATGAGGTTGAAAGGATGGGGCTTTTGTGGGGTAATCTCTGTTAGGTTTCGGATAGTCCTTTCTGGGGATTTTAAGCAACAAACCGGTTAAGTGAAAGCCGTTGAAACACAAGCTTTCTCGAGAACCTCGGGGACAGAGTCATGCACCCGAACCTCTTGGCTAATGTAATACTTGTTTCTGGGGTTCGTGCTCAGCCGCGGTGGTAGATCAACGTTCAACCAGCAAAGGAAGCTCACCAACTATCCTCTTGTACTTATCTCACGCTTCCGTCGAGGAAAAGAGGTGCAGGAAGTCGGACACCAGGTTGAGGTTTAAACCAAGTTTAAACCTCGTTCGAAGCAGCGTGCCTGGTCAGACATGGCTAAGTCGGCCCGGCAACTGCCGGTCGTCCCGCACCATATCCGGCGCTCGTACGCCACACCGTCTCCTGCGGTCGTGTAAGTAACATCATGATTGATCATAAGTTTGTATGACCCGTATCCTTGCAAGCCTTGAGCATACGTTCTCCTTGGCGCCATACTTGCGACTCTTATCAGCTGCTCAGGAATGTAGTCTACTTCGTGGGCCGTGGCAACTTCTAGCAAATAATTCACTGCCGCTTACATCACGGTGATGAGGTGTACAGACATTTCATGCACAATATTTTTACCCTCGCACTCTTGTAGTTTGATGCCTCTAATATCTAGAGCTTGGCTCGGTGATGACGAACATCAATTCGCCGCCACTAAAATGACCACCACAAACATCAGTGCGGGTATTTCAAGAAAGAGGGGAGGAAAAATAGAAGACTTACCCAGGGGTACCACGGAGAGGAATCTTTCGACAATGTTGCATTAAATTTGGGCAACCGTCTTTCTCTGAACGCAGCAGCTCCTTCCGCGCCATCAGGAGAGCTGCCAAGAAGCTTCATCGAACGCGATTCGTGAAGGTGGGTTTCCTCAATGGTGTCACTGGCGTGTTGGATTAGACCCTTGGTATATGCATTTCCAAGTTGTGATGTGTTAGATGCTAGCTCTTCTGCGAAAGCCTTAGCTGCTGGATATACAGCTTCGCGCGTTGGGAAGGTCGCGTGGTAGAGGTCTCTGATCATGGGCGAAGTTGGAAAGACGGTCATTCCTCCAAGAAGGAGGGAATTAGCGCGTGAGAGACCAATGAGGCGGGGAAGAAGGTAGGTGGACAGTGCTAGAAACAAGTTAGCACATCTGTCTAATGACAGTCATGTCTGGGACCCAGAACAAATATATACCTTCGGGTGAAATGGCGCGCCTTACGAACGAGAAACTAAGTTTAGCTCCTTCCCATGCAAAACGAATGTCGAATGGCAGCTGCATGGCTGTCATACCAACTCCGGCCTGAATAAGTAAATAAATCTGTATAAGGGCCTGAGTTCAATACGTTTTCTCTACTTACCGCGTGCCCGTTCACAGCGGCGATCGTGATCTTTCGACTATTGTAGATGACCATGGAGAGTTGCCCTCCGATGTCGCGAGCCGCTGGGCAGGTTGTCAGATTCATTTCAACCTCTGAAAAATAGGTGATTCGCAACCTACCATGCTCTCCCTCTTTCTCCTCTTCCGGTGTCCAAAGGCCATCCCATCCTCCCGATATATCTGCCTATGAAAAATCACGATGAAGCGACATACTCTACCAATTAAAGGAATGGCGTACGCCTGAGCAGAAGGCAGGAGCGGTAGGCTCGGCTGTCATAATGACAACGCGAACACGGTCGTCCTTGTCCGAGAGATCAAAGATACGAAGGAGGTCATTCAGCAGTGTTCGGTCGAATGTGTTCCGCCTACAGATAAGCGAATTGTCAGCAGGCGCTGGGGCAAGGCAGTAACGTCGCGACGTACTTTTTAGCACGGTTAATGAGAATCGTCAAGACAGGCCCATCGAGCGTGACGATGATGTCCTTGTATCCCTGCTTTGAGTAATCAGGAGCGGACATTATACTGTCGAGGAAAAGATGCAGTGGTGGGTGGGGTGTTTTCAACAATGGCGCAGCTCATTCCTAAAGCCTTTTAAGCAACCACCCAGGAGATATCTTGGTGTGCTCCAGTTCCAAGCCTTCTGATGTACCTCAGGTGCAGAATCATGCAGTTTGGAGTGGTATTTGAAGATGATAGATGTCCAGCAGATTTCGTTGCGTTCCAGTGATACAGAAGACAACCAAATAACTTCGTTCCACTAATTGCATCAAGGAGGACGGGAGAAGTTCGTGCTATTGTTAGAGTCAATAGCAAACTAGAAGGATCATAGGCCTTATTTCTAGAGTGTAAAAGTTGGAGGACTGGCAACTCCGTCCGGCAACAGCCGCGTGTTGGACGAGTCTTGCTCATATCTGGCGTTTGTGCGCCACATTGCCAAGCTCGATGGAACTGGGCCTGTAAAGGGCACCTTCAACATCTCTGAGGGCGCGAAAATGAGCGGTAATAGTGTGAAATTACTCCTCCACCGCTTACCCAGGTCCGGGTCAACCATCAAGTTGGAAGGATATTTTAGTCACGATGCGGCGGCGGGTAGAAGTCGAAGAGGAGATGGCGCGGTTTTAGGTAGCTTTTGCCCACAGATATCCTTCCGTTGCTCTGTCAATTTGTCCTTAGGTCCTCAATCCCAGAACTACAATCAAGAGAGTATATTCATACCTAATTATACACTTGTAGATATCGCGGGTTCCGCGGTTAGTTTCAATTCGTCTCACGGTTATTCCGCGTACTGCGTCAAGGATCATACGATATATTACAGAGTCACAACACTGCTGCTGCTGGTTAACGTATCTTTCTTCCAGAACATCCAAACACGCAAGATGTCCTAACGACGTGTCAACAGAATGAACCTCCTTGAAGTCGGGGTAATCTTACCTTCTGTGTTCCAAAAATCAGACCCACGAGAGTCGGGACTGCAGAGGCGTGTCAGTTCGTATCCATATCCCTATACGTAGTTTTGGGGGCGTACTCACGCATTGCCAATCCAAGGTTCAGTTCAGCGCCGCCATGGTCAGTATCCCATGCAAAGTACTGAAGGATTCCGATGCTGAGTGATTCACAACGTTCAGTCGCTTCGGTGAGCCCGAGAGCCGAAACTGAATAACTCACATCAGCGCCCCTATCGGGCACACTCCGAAGATCAGCACCCGCATGACGACTTCGGGAGTGAGATGATCGGCATTCCGCCAGTTCGTCTTCCCGGCTTCTCGCCAGGTATGATGACGAATGGCGCGGTACACAAGGACTATGAACGACTGTAAGATAACTTGTAGAAGATAGGATCCAGATTAGCCTACCTTCAATAACTAAGAGGGGAATAATTGGCACTATGCTGAAACCAGCGGTGATTTTATTTCTGTTCAAATACGCCGGAAGAGTGAGGAAAAGCGCTGATCGAAAAAATGAAGAAGTAACGTACGGTAGACGATCGCGAATATTGCAATACATCCCCGATGGGTCTCTTTCGACTGACGACTTGTGGAGCAGCCCGTACTACACGCATGGTCAATCGTTTGCTGAGTATCGAGCGAGGGCCATCTTACAATCACCACTTCCAAAACTATGAGGAAGAAAACGGAACACGGAAGAATGTGAAACTAGGACGCAGTGTAAACGGCTGCATTCTCGCATGAGACTCGAGAGAAATCTATCACATACCAACGCAGAATATTTCTTGGGCATTGCAGCATATCCGCCCATTGTCCGTCGAAGAGATAGATACACCTATGTACATCGATGTCAGTATACGCCCCAATAATAACGAAAGACGTCGGAGAGCCCACATGAAGCATAAAGGAACACGCATACCAGGCGTAGCTAGGGGCTGTTCAATGAATGCGCACGGAGAACCGAGGACAAATAAATGCTTACAACACTGGTGTCCCATAGACGAACGTTGCTTGAAATAAACAATAGCCCGTAGAAGGCGGTGGACCCGTCTGTTGGCCGAGAAGGAGAAGATGTCCGATCGGGGCGCTAAGCCAGGCGATTTCGAACATAAACCACATAGGACCTCGCCGGATACGCGGGGATAGCCATGCTGTCAGGACGGTCGATCCAATGATAATAAGACCAGCGATATGGATGATGTCGAAGGCGACAATATATGGGATATACGGTTGGTGCGTAACTTGAGATAATGAAGGATTGGTGAGAAGAAATGCGTAGCAAGAGCGCAGACTCACCCCCGTCCACGATTGGGGAGGTACTATCGTTCTGCGCAGACATCCTAATGCTTGATATGCTTGGTATATGCGATTATCCGGTTAGACGATGAGCACCAACGAAGGAAGGAATCCAAGAAATGACAGTGGGCGAAGAGAGGGACGGGCACAGTAGGAGTCGGCAAAACGGAGAAAGTTCCAGGTAGTAATTCGGAGCCAGCAGGCTTCGTGAAGGGTTAAGAGTAAAAAGAAGAAGAAAAGGACCGAAAGTCGGAGGACGTGGGTGATAAAGAAAGACCAGCTCTCTATAAGGTGCTCCACGGATAACAGTCATACAAATCCGGAGGCAAGAGGGGACGGATTTTAAAAAGTCGCGATCTGCGGCATATGGGCATCCATATGTATACCAATTATTCTATAGTCTTACTGGTTCCAGGGCAACGTCGACTGCTCGCGAGAGGTACACCGCTTGCGGGTGATCGGCGATGTCAAATGGATACGTCGACGTCAGCGCAGCAGAAGGAAAGAAGTCGAGTCCACAAGACTTTATCACGAGGCTAAGTGGGGTCGATGAATAATAATTATGGGCTAAGAACCGTTTAGAGACCTACAGTCAGCTTCGTCAGGAATGAACCTCCAGGATATGCTCGAGGTTGTGGCTAAACTGAAGCAGGTGGTGTACCGAAAGGCACGGGTAGAAATTTCACGTTCAGGAACTGTGCCATTTACTTACGACCGTAGGATTTTCAGAGACGGAAATGGTGGCATCGGAAGGCAGTCGCAACAAACTTGAGGCACCGAAGAAAATCGCTCTAGCGCTCGTCTTCGATCACGATCAATTGCTGTGCCGAGGACGACAGGGGCCGACAATCCTGTACCTAGAAGTAGCAATGAAGTGAACGATGAGGGGCGATGTCGCCTGTCGTTCGCTGTATCCTGCTGCATCGCACGGCGAGTTTCTTGTGAATAATTGCCGGATGCAGACTGCACAGAAGCAGAGTAGAGACCCGGGGGAGCTGAGAAATTTGCATTCAAAAGTACTTGTGCTATTCTCCTCGGCCGAGGTCAGGGGAGGAGGCCGAGGAAGGTACAGGAAGGCACCGCAGATCGCGGTTCCAAAACGCAAGCTTCCGTAAAAAGGGTTCTTCAATAATCGTTCTGCCTCGCGATTTGCAACAAAAGTTGTATTTGAATCCAAGCACGCCAGGTTGATCTGTATTTCCATAAGGTATGTAAGTACTCGCAATAACAGGGTTTCAAAGTCTAAAATACCTGGAAGCCCTCGAATTGAAAAGAAGACGCTTCGTATCTCCGTTTCGCGACTTCTACCTTCGCATCGAGGAGCAATAGCCAAAACATCCGCGACAATGGCTGCGGCCTCACCATTAATGTGTGTTGTACACCGGCCTTGATCTCTGAGGTCGACAGTCGACTGCACCTTTGTCCTCATCCGTCACTCATGCATACGACGTAAGACGCATAAGATCTATCTGCTTGATTAGATCGTTGGTTTCGCAGGCGGAATTTTGCGTTGCCTCCACAAGACTGCTTTCGTTGGGCTTTCCCTCTACTCTTATTGCAGCTCTATCTCACCTTGGCTGCCACCTCTGCCTAGCCCGTCGACGTGCTATGATGTATGCTGTTGGTCCAGGAAAGAGCCGCAATACTAAGAAATTCCAGAAATAATAGAATACCCCTTACCACCAACGAACATAACGCTTTAAGTCTGCGCGCTTCTGGAGCCTCAAGTGCCCAGCCTTCGTAATCATGAGATGCCAAAGTCTGCCGTGACGTAGGCATGCAGAAAGTATAGATGGACGCCTTCGATTCACGCAAGAATGTCGCTGATTCAAAGGAATACGCAACGTTCACTCCTTTGCTGTCTTTGGCCACCTACAATGTCATTACTCCTCTGAGTCTTAGTTAACACGATTGATCCTGCGTGTTCAGCTCACCTTTTAGGCAGCCCAATTTTTCCTCTTCATGAGAACACGAGATCCATAAGGTATGCCTCTCCTATGTCGAAAAGGTCGGTAGGGAGTCGGGCGCTTGGTGTTGAAAGTTGCAGAATCGAGACGGGTCACCGTTGAACGTTGAGACTGTTGAACAACATGTCGCGGACCGCGCTGGGCCGCGGTTGCACCTATGGCACACGGATGATGTCATCAGTAGTCCATCAGCCTGACTAAATACGGCAACCGCTGCCCTCAACCATCGCTGAAGCTGAAGACTCAAGAGTCTAGTCCAACAGCTTGACCTCGCGTTTCACTATTACCAACATCGACAACCCCCATGAACCTCCGCACTCTCTGATTTTACTCTTTCTTCTCGTCCGTTTTCCTTGAAAACCCATCTACTCCGAGTCAGCATTCTCAACTCGGGTATGGCCGATCTTCAAGCCCGCATAGGGCCCAAAGTATTTCCCAACAAGTCCTGGACAAGACCAGGGTACGAACCCCCGGCACAAGTGAAGAGTTCTCCAAAACACCATAATAAGTGGAAAAGCACTAGACGGAGTGCAGGATACGACAGCGATGCGTCTAGTAATTCCAGTCACGACGGGAGTTCGTCTCGCCAGAGATCCCACTCTCGTAAGGCATCTATTTTCAGCCGTCTCGGCCTCTCCAATCCCGATAACTTGGAAGGTGAAGATGAAGATGTGGAAGACGCGGAAGCCGGAAACGTGGAGAAGACTTTGCTGGAACGTGTGGGGGTCACCTCGCCTCGAGCTTCACATCTGCCTCCGGACGTTAATGCCGTATTATATCCTCGGGCGACTACGAACCAGGACGAAGATATGACTGCAGGTTCTTCCAGAAGTGAAGATGGTGTCATTATGGGCGCTAAATGGGATTCTGAGCCGTCTGTCAGATCGGGGCTAATCGAGGAGTGCACAACTTTGGTACGTGACTGCCACCTGTTTGTTTTCTATCCCAAGTTAGCTGGACCGTCCTTCTTTAGGATAACCAGGGAAAGGCGACCTTGACAAGCATTATATCCAACAGCGGCACTGGAAAAGACAGTGGAAGCGAGAAGCTGTCGACTCATGGGCCCTCGCAAGATGCAGGCCAAATTACCAATCAAGTCAGCCACACTTCTCCCCCACCTTCAGCGACAGCCCCGTCTTCCAGCACTGTAGAGCAAAAGAACCTCAGATCGCACCCAAGCACCTCGAACAACTCGGATACAGCCAACCTGGGCAGCGGTCCCCGTTCCCCGAGCGAAGAAGGCGAGTTGTCTGAGCCACTATCGGCCAACGGCGTCCGTGGTCTTCTGGCACCTCTCGTTCTACGAAACGCGGGAGGTCGCTCTTCCAAAACGGCTACCAACCCTCTGAGCCCAGGCGAGCTTCCACAGATCCTCACAAGCGACGACATATCCTCGTTTGGTGGAACTATGTCCAACCTTGGGATGGAGCTCCGTGCACAAGCAGGCCCGAAAGGTGGCACCGGTTCATTTTCAGCGCCGAACGAGACCCCACCATCGGCTCCTCGTGCAATGCGAAAGGCAAGCTGGGAACGTCAGCCTACATCTGCATATGCATCTTCGTCTACTTTCGCGGACCCTAAACACGCTACAGCTCGATCCCCGCTCGCGATCCCAGAAGCTGGTCTTCGACGTCACGATACCATCCTTTCTCCAACGTCTGGTCGATACCTTCCATCGCTGCGATATACACCGAGCCCGCAACGTCCTGAAACACGCCATCATGCATCTCCATCGAGTTCCAGACGTACTCGATCGCCGTCACCTACTTCAACACATCACTCGTCTTTCGCTCGCGACCGACACTATGATCCTTACTATCATGAGCGTCTGCCCCGTGGCTCGTTATTAGCAGCCACACCAATGGCAGAGCCATCTTTGCACCGTCCTGCACGCCAAACGTCTCCAGTGTCGTTGCATTATGGCGAACCAAGCTCCAGCCGACCAGCCTCAGAGCGTTCCTTTCACACAGATAGACAGGACCGACGGTCGTCGTTGGAGTCTCCGCGCTATGGCAAAGGACGACAGGACAATGACCGACGTCGTCCTTCCTACAACAAGACTAGCAGGCGAAGAGATGATTCTACTGATAGAGGACGAACACGTCGACTTGATGACGAGAGATCAAGGCGTTCCGCTTCACCTGCTCCTCGGGGACCATACAAGCCTTATGCCACAGGTCGACAGCGTTCTCGCTCTTATTCTCGCTCTCGTTCTCGCTCTTACTCGCGGACACCATCTCCTCGGCGGTCACGTCATAGACTTCCGAAAACACACCCTCCTCGAGGACTATATATTTCCAGAGATCCTTGGCAAAATGCTTATCCTTATGAAGAACAACAACAAATGGGTTACTCAATATCACAGTCACCAAGTCCTCATGAGAAATATGCCTCATCCTTGGAAAGAACTGGATATCACACACATGAGACATATATGCAAGATAGCAGGGATCAATCCCAATCACAAAATTCAATTCTGGTTGCTGAACAAGATGCAGAGCAAGCTCCTCAAGTGACTCTACCATGCCATAATGTTCCTGGGTTATGGTTTGCAAAGCTTGGCTTGCCCGAAATAGGAATAATGGAATGTGTATTTGAAGTGGATGATGAAACTGCCTCAAAATGGGGCCTGTCCAGGTGGGTGGTTTTAAACTTCATCCAAATGGCTGATATATAAGAGGAATTGTCAGGGAAAATGTAAGTACAGACTCTGCAGATCACAAATCCAACAAGAAATTGTCTTTGGAGATATGTTGCATCTCAAAACGGCTGATTGAATTCACAATGGCAAATCTCAAGCCTGATGCAACACCTCAAGATATTGCAGAAGCACTGTATGCAGCAGAAAAGCACTGGCCACCACAGGGTGATCTCATCATCCATGTGAATCATGGAGATAACAAAGGAAAGACAATTCTACCTCATAAACTTGTGAGTCCTGTTGGCCACAAGTCAAGCACAATTCTGAAGAACACACCAAGGGTATACCATGCCATCCAATCCAAATTGCACAACATGTCCACAAAGGCCATAATATTGTGCAGTTCATCCAGCTCCGTGGAATGTCTGAAAGCATGTTTGCACTCTTTGCCAAAGAAAGTGCAGACAAAACCCATCACGCAGACAGCATTTCATATCAACCAGAACCAGAAGAGCACACTAACAGCAGCACAGGAGTGATTCGCATTAAACCAGCTATTATAAGTATTTCATCAATAGATGAGTAGGGTAGGGTATCTGCAGATTGTTGTAAGACTAGTTGTATGATATTAAATGTTGCATTGCTTTCAAGTCACCTCTAGAACGTCATCGAAAGCAAGATCGGGGGGCCACGAAGATCTAGGTGGCTCTAAGACGAGGGTTCGGGAACAAGGAATCCGACGAGGCTGGCATCGAGCATAAAGTCGACATTGACCCAACCATGCGTCGAAGCTAGACGGACCATTAGAGTTATGAAGGCAGCCGAAGAAGTTACATGTCCCACTTACCGAAAAGCTTCGTCCCATCTCGGCCTGCAACGCGCATTAACTCCTTCTCTCCTCCAGGGTGGAACGGCAGATATGGTGTAATATTATACACCTTGCCGTTGAAGGCGGACCAAGCATCGTCGCGCTTGTTGTGCTGCTTGAGCACCGACGGTGGTATGCGCATCAAGGAGTCAACTCCCTGGAGACACCACGGGTTAGATTACAACGTGGAAATCAACCTAGTGTCATCACGCTCACCCTCAGATCCGCCCCGGAGGTCTTCAAGGCCGCCCAATCTAGTGGACTATGTCCTGGCGCAAGAGCGACCTTCCCGCTCTTCTTGCTCGGTTTCGGAGGTGGCTTCGTCGTGCTAGGTGGGACAGCCAGCGAATTACCTCGTGTCGATGGGACGCCAGGCTGTCGCACAGCGAGAGAAGGGAAAGGTGGCGGCGGCATCAGCTGCGAGTCTGTCAAGATCTTTGGGGTCCTTGAAGTTTGGACCCTCTGCGCGCTGTTCAGAGCAGGGAACGCAGGCGGGACGTCGTTATCCTTCTCCGTCTCGGTGTCACCACCATCGTCTTCGTCGTCGGACGCTTGCGGAGAAATCGTGTTCAAGCTGGGCACTTGAACCTGACTTGGGGCCTGTTCTGCTGCCGATGTTCCGGTGTAGAGCCAGCTACGTAGGTAGGATGTCATGGTGAGACGAGAGAACGAGAAAGAGAGATGATTGCAATCGGAAAGCGCCCAGCTTGAGTCATCTATGCCGATGTGGTCACGGTTTGGGTCAGAGCTTATGGTAATTGATCTGACTGTAATTGGCTCGTGGGCACCTCACTGCACACTTGCGAGGATTCGTCGATTCGTCGAACGTTTGAAAGCTCTTCAAGAAATCATGAATAAATTTTACATGGTCCGTAGAGGAGGTCCAATCCCTCGGTACAGAGATCGTTCAACAGGACTTGAGGCACTGAGGTCGCGGTTCGAGATTTCCTTTGGATTTCCTAAATTCGTGGATCGAAACGTTGGTCGAAGACATATCACATTCTTAAAAATACAAAAATACACATAGAAGGGGTAGCCGTGTCGGGAACTAAATAAAGACGTATCAGTACATGGCTTCGAGCTCCTTTATCGCGTGTGGTCCGTCGGTCGCCTCGAAATCTCTCTTCTCCTCGACTTCTCTCGGCCTCGCTCGAGGTCATGTTCTCTTGGGCGTCGCCTGCGTTGGCTCTCAATCGGCTTGGGCTTAGGAGGCGGCGTGAAGAAGAACGGACTAATGGAAACTCCGAGAAGTAGCAGCGTGGCTGACAGAGACATCCAAGGCTAATGCCAGTCAGTCAAATGTCCGCTAACACTATGGCAATGAAACTCACTAGGTTGCCAAAACTTGCATCAAACCCTCGCCTCTCGAACCTCTTTCTCGCCGTATCGAACATGCCAATCATGAAGAAGAATGCCAGAGCAGATGTCCCGAAGGAAAGCCATGCAAAGATGTCGAATATCTTGTCACTCCGAGCGTTCCGGGCGCAAAGGACAGGCATCAGCGATGCCATCGTGAAAAATGTAAAAATGACCGCTGTAGCCCGGATTCAGTCAGCTTCATACGGACAGGCTCTTGAGAATCGGAGAAGACGAACAGATAGGATAGAAGACTAGGGCTTTGGTGATTGGTATGGCTATTTCTGGTTCCCAGGTGTATCCCAGTCTAAGAATATCGGTAGTTAATTCCTGGCTCTGCAGAACGATACATATAGGCAGCTGATACGCACTGAAGAGGTGAAGAACAAGTCCCATCTGAGTCCAAGCACCATCCCCACATCCCAAACCGTACTCCATTGGCCTGTGAAGTGTACAGGAAGTAAAAGCTGGACACAAGTGGGATCGACAGCGTTGTCAATAGTCTGCCATACGAAACGCCTAGGTAAGCCTCTCAAATGAATGGAAGTCTAGATGGATGCCATACAGAAGGATAAAGGCCGTAAAAGTCACTAGGAACACATAGAAAGCGGGGTTCGCGTAGATGATCGTTGTCATTGTCGTTGAAATCCAGAGAAATCGTGAAATTATCGTCAAGGGTGATGTCAAGTGAGGTGTAGTGGTATCACAGACTCATTGTGACGCAGGTGTAGCCAAGACAGAGGAGGTGGTTAGGAACACAGGCGACGGAAGCAACTGCGGTTCGAAATACAGGGCAGGTTCAACCACCGGCTAACACCGCGTGCTGCGTCTTGGAATGGGCACGGCTGCCTTATGGAGTTACTCACCAAGCCCCGCAAGGGTCGCATTTAGACGTCTTCAGGGAAGTCCAGAGCGCGACGAAGAGTCGCTCGAGAACACAAGGGGTCTGGATGGCCGAGAAATAAGATAAAGAGGTTCTAGTCAGGTTGCTCATTATTTAAATTAAGACTCCCCCGACTCAACAGCTTCTCATATTCTCAGGAATGACAGAGGCACCGCGCTCTCGACCTGGATAATGACATGTACGAAGAAGATGAAAACAAAAAAAAACATCCAGATCGGAAAACACGGATAGAATTAGTAAAAATACAGAGAAACGGAACACAAACAAAGCAGACTCATCGCGAACGCATTCACCATGAATCAGACTCAGGCCTACGGACGAGAGGGGAGAAAAAAGGGGGAAACAGAACAACACGGATAACGACATATGCGCGACGAATAAGTAAGGAATAGCATAAACGACACGATATCGTTCAACAGGAGATAAAAAGATGCGACTTTGCGATCTGAGGAAGGGCATAAAAAAGAACGAGGTGAAGGCATCAGGGAAAGAACAAAAAAGAGAGGCATAAAGAAGATTTGTGAGGTCGTGATTGGCTGGTCGGTGGAGGAGGCAGGGCGAATAGATATTGTGTTGGACAACAAACAGGAGGCAGAGACGACACAAGATCAGGGTTAATAAACAGGGAGAGAGGGAGAGGAAGAGAAAACCGTCCATCCCCATTGAAAAGGGGTCGCTGTTGAGTGACAAGAGAGCGTATACATCATCACGAATCGTGGATATGTTTGGTAGGTGTGTAAGAAAACAAAGCGGGAGAAATATATAAGATGAAATTTGGGAAACGTTGGTGCTCGGGAGTCCGTTGGCGTCGTTTCATTTCGAAGTCTTGCCGCTGCCCAGGGCGGGTGGACGGTTCGGTGGAAATACAAGGTAGAGTTGATGCGGGTAGACGGGTAGAATATCGGAAGATGATGGCTAAGAGGACAGTAGGAAGGCGGTCGTTGTTGAAGACAGGGGCTGAATGCGAGACGAATTGGCTGGTGGTACAGTTGTTGCATGTGTTGTTGACGGATCCCTTGATTAGTACAACAGACAGACAAAAAGAGATGAGAAGAGGAAGCGGATACGGCGTTTCAAAACGGTGAAAAGAAAGAGAAACGGAGAGAGAAAACAGTCTATGGTCATCTTCAAGTTTCCTGCATTCATTCATTTCGTGCATTCATTCTGAGGCGGGCGAAAACCACACAAGGCAATTCACACCCGTCACCGACCCGGTCAACTCTGCTGGACCAAATCGATCCCAGCACCGAGCGCACGCTCCTCCTGCCTCGGCGCACGCCCTGGACTGCCGATACCCGCCGCCGCCGCCGCAGCAGCAGCAGCCTGCAACGCGTGCGCATGTCGCATCTGCTCTTCTTCAAAGAGCTTCCGCCCAACGTCGGCCCGAAGACCCAGGTTGGACTTGTGGGCACTCGCAACCGCACCACCCGGTCCGTAGCCCCCATGAGCCCCCCTCGACGGCGAAGGCGAGGCGTTAATGAA